TTGTTGTCAAGACTGTTGGTGTTGTTGTCAAGACTGTTGGTGTTGTCAAGACTTTTGGTGTTGTTGTCAAGACTGTTGTTGGTGTTGTCAACAATCTGGTTTTGATTATGCCAGTGTTCTCTGATGCTATGAAGATGTGGTTCTACCACCCGCAAAACCTGGCTCCAGGATAGGTCTGCCTCTTCATAGAAGATCGAGTGTTGTTTGTGTTCCTCTGTTACATCGAGCATCAGAGTAAGTGTACTGCCATTATCCTCATATCCTATGACACTCCTCTGACCACTGTAGCCCGGTACTTGCAATGGTGTGGAAAGAAGGGCTATAAGGGCTCTTGCAATTCCATCTTTTGAAATCAGAGTTTTTGGAGGTTTGCTTCTTGCTACTTCGATTGTGAAAAGTTTCAAATTGAGAAGAGGTTGCAAATCTTTTGGAAGTCCGTTGTGCTCCTTGAATATGCAAGTGATACCAGTAATGATCTCTTCAATGGTGTACTGCCTTTCACATACATGCCGAAAGCGGAGGCCATTGCCGCCTAATATGCTATCCCAATAGAAGCCAAGCAAGATCGTATCGTAGTTCATTTTCACCATCTTCGTATACTGTTCGGGAGAAAAAATGGGTACATGTTTCGACGGGCGCTGTACCGTTGATGGAGCTGGACCTTTTGACGAAGCTGGGTCATTTGATCGGGAGTTCTGCCACGCTGGCATTGATTGCTGTACCGTTGATGGTAGGTGTTGCATAGCAGACGTCGTGAAGGGCTGCACCGTTGGCGGGAGGTGTTGCATAGTAGACGTCGTGAAGGGCTGCACCGTTGATGGGAGGTGTTGCATAGTAGACGTCGTGAGGGGCTGCCTCGTCAGCAACGGCAGCGAGGTTTCGTCGGCGGACGAGGGGAACATGATGCCAGTTATCTCGCTCTTAGTAGTGAGTTGGCTATGGGTCAAATTTGAAAGGATAACTTGGTCGACCGTTGCTCGCTCCGTACCCAGTCATTATATACACGATCAAGCCGGAGAGCCAGTTCAGGAGAACTAGTTACATTAGTGCAGGTGTAGGGGCTTGGATTTACGTTTCTGCGTTCAATTTGCTGCCTCATATTGAGTGCAACGACAAAGCACGGAAAGGGCGTATGTTCAAGGGCAGTTGCTGCCTAACCAGGGAGAGGTGACAGGAGGACGAAGCAATGCCGCAGGTGCCGCAACCGCTACGACATCAGCGGGACCGTTATCAGCCTGTCAGGATCCTCGTACAGCGTGGCATCAGGACAAGGATGTTGTCACCTAGGTGCAGAAAACTACTCTTTGCTTTACCACGGGAAGATCACACTACTTTGCTCGTTGCATCAGGCGTACATTCGCTTGACAAGACGTACATTGATTGGACCAGGCGTACCGGTCAACTCGTGTGGGCCGTGATGATTGAGGAGGGACTCGACTTTCAATGCAACAACGAAAGCTTAGGCCGCTGGCTTAATCAATACTACCTATCCGATGTGACACGACACGACTAACTTCCAGCATCCAGACCGTCTCTGCAATTTGGCTTTCATCAGCCGATGGATCCAAGGTCTCTGGTCCTGCTTGAAGGTGGTGGTAAGGGCACGTTGGTGGTAAGGATTAACCTGATCATCTGTAGCCTCACAGATCACTCATTTTCACAGGAAGCTTAGCAAGGGCTGCATTCTCACGCGAGGAAATTGATACATTGATGATGTGCCAGTTGTGAGCACAGAAGTATAAGAAGGTGTCGAATATGGTATCCAATAGAATGTATATAGAAAGATTCCTAATGGACCCTCAAGAGATGTATTCACGCACTCTGAATCGGCATGTCTCCGTTGTCTCCAGAATGGATATCGATGGCACGTCCTCCGGACTTGGATTCCGGCTAGCCTTCATTGTCTGGGTGCGTGGGGTAATCGGTAGGTGTTGTCACCTTCCTTTAGTATTGTGAGATAATTGGCATAGGGAAGATAGGGGCGTACTGACTCTATTTGTGACTAGGGACTGTAGTTTTCTGGACAATGTCTTGGCATCGAAGCAACTATTCAACGGCGAAGTGGAATTTGTTGGCGTGTTGAATGGCTTTTGGTATTCCGAGTCCTCTTCCACGTTCGAGATGGCGTAATTTCCAAAGCTCTCCTCGTGGTGTCCTTGGAAATGAAACAATCCACTTCCGTTCTCTCCTCCGTTGATGTTAGACTGCATGAATCTTGTGTCCAAGGTGACGTGTAGGGTAGTCTGCGCATTCCCGTCGCAGCGTTTAACGATGGGCTCAAGACTTGCCTCCATTGTAAGATGGATCGAACTTTTCCTTAGAAGTATTGCAAATAATTAACTAAGGCAGCTATGATTCCGCAGATTGGAATTCGTAGCATGGTGGTAATGCTGATATCTAAGTACTATCTGGCCTCTCCTAGGATCCTAAACCAACCGGCCGGACCGATGCCAGGTGCCACCTCGCCACATTGTGACGTTTACGTGCTGCACACAATTAGGCGAAGTAAGGAGATCTAATGCACCCGTTCTGAGATCTCGCATCATACCCCTGTTCGTCTGAAAGGTTTCGTAGGTAACATCTTGTTCATGGAGACGAGTTAGATAGCTGTCCGCCTACTGCAACCACAACCCCACGCCGTCTTCCCCGCTTCCCCGTCGCTTCCCCATCGCCTCACCTCACATGGGCTCACCCTTCCACAGTAGATCTCATCCTAAATCTTGCCATCTAACGCATCGGGGCTGCCCCACCGACATTTCAAGTACCACATAACCAAGAAAGTCTTGATAGTGAGCTTGGGGCAATTGATTTTAGTCGCGACACAGGTCACAACCTAGATACATGGAGCCGGTGACGTGACGTGTTGCTTTTGGGATTGCCGATGACAGATGACTAGAAGGGCATTCGTCAACGAATATCGTGGAGCAATCGGTCATTGACTCGGTAGATGAGGATGATTGTATGGGTTTGGGAGGTCCCTTGTGCCTTGCTGCGGGAAGGAAATCTTACGTGCGATGGAGCACCGGTTTGGACGTGATATGAACGAAGACAACTAATTTGAATAAGATGTATATGACTACTTTTAATGATGACATTACAACTAAAACTAAACAACCTGGTTGAAGCTTACCCTACAGTAATACTACTGCGCATGTTTTGATCGTAGCTTTTTGATCAATGCTGGATCATCTGCTATATAACTCTCCACCTTCTCAAGTGGCATTGTATCGTTACGACCAAGCTTTCCCGAATCTTCGACGTGTGTGCTGTAGTGCTTTTCGTAGTGATATCTACGGGTAAAGCGTTTCCCGCAAATCATACAGATATGACCCTTGCCATCATGCACTCCAATGTGCATCTTCAGATGTGCGGACGTTTTGAAAGTTGACTTGCAACGCTTTTCCTCTGCAATGAGCCGGTCACATCTGAATACAGGTTCCCTTATGGGTCCATCAGTCACCTCATCCGCGCTAGAAGTATCGAGTTGGGTGGCAGTGTTAAGACTAAAGTCCTGCATGTCCGGAGACATTATTGTTCTCGCAACCGTCGCCTGGGTATCTTCAGGATATGATGTAATCTTCAACTCGCTAATTCTATGAGTGACATTTTTTCCTATACAGCAATGGATATGTACTTACAGGACAGTCCGATTACACGAAACTAGAATTTGATTCAACGAGGTTATGAAATTGGATACAACTTGTTGATCTAGGCGCTTTGCCGGAGCTGGGTCCTTTGCCGGAGCTGGGTCCTTTGCCGGAGCTGGGTCCTTCGGCGGAGCTAGATGCTCTGATGGAGCTGGACCCTTTGCTGGAGCTGGGTCTTTTGATAGACCCTTTGTTAGAGCTGGGTCCTTTGATGAGTCCTCCGATAGAGCTGGGTCCTTCAATAGAGCTGGGCGCTTCAATGGGCGCTTCGACGGAGCTGGACCCTTGAATGGGCGCTTCGATGAAGCTGCAGCATTTGATGGAGCTGCAGCATTCAATAGAGCTGCGGCATTCGATGGAGTTGCAGCACTTAATGCAGCATTCGATGGAGCTGCAGCATTCGATGGAGCTTCAGCATTCGATGGAGCTGCAGCATTCGATGGAGCTTCAGCATTCGATAGAGCTGCGGCATTCGATGAAGCTGCAGCATTTGATGAAGCTGCAGCATTTGATAGAGCTGCAGCATTCAATGGAGCTGCAGCATTCAATGGAGCTGCAGCATTCGATAGAGTTGAAGGATCAAACGAAGCTGGGTCATTAAACAAAGCTTGGGGATCAACGAAAGCTGGGGAATTAAACAAAGGTGGGAAACCGAACGAAGTTGGACCTCCAGAGAAACCTAAAGAATCTGGGATCTCCGGAGACAGATTCCAAGACATGAATTCCTGATATGCGTTGTCCGAGAAATTTAGTTTATGAGTAGAAGACATCGCATATAACACAGCGAGGGGATGGCAGTACAGGCAAGGGGCAAGAAAAACAGTAAAGGTGAAGGGCAATGGAAGTGTTTAACGGGAGAAGTTCACATCTGAAAGGTCCCTTTCGAAGATGGGTGCTAAGCGCTCCGACTGGAGTATTGACTTCTTTGACGAATGATCATCAGCGGCAGGCCCTGACATACATGCTATCCCATGCATCTGCGAGTTGCATCTGGCCATCATAGCCGCATAATTGGCCTATGTGAAGATGATTGTTGCATGGCCTAGCAAGGGTGTGAGAGACATTCTCAGAAAAGAATACAAAAGGGGCTGCGTCTCGAATCAAGGCAACATGCGGAAGCGGGCACAAGGCCACAGCAGCGCCAAGACTTCAATGTTTGTTCGTCCCACTCTCGGTTTTCACGAACTGTATCCACCAGGTTAGCGCCAATCCCAGGAGCTGGCAGCAACAGTATGTGCGAGAACGCATCTAGTCAGTGGCGGTGCCTTGGCCAACCTTTGAAGCAAAATGATTGCCTGCGAAGCTAGCACATACGTACCTGGGCACCCATTCACTTAGAACCAAACCAATTTAGATTGTAGCTTCTGAATAGCCTCCCGGAGCTACGTGAAACATTGCCTCTCATAGCAACACTGAGAATGGAGTGTCAACGTTCCTTCGCAATCCCCTGCCTATATTCCCTTTGCCGTCGGTTTCTCAGGTTATTCCCCGGGAAATTGCAGGCTGTGTTGTGAACTCTAATATTTCTGGGTTTCATTTGGAGATAAGGTCTTCTTGCTCCTTTGATAGAAGGTGAAAAGCGGCTGGACAAGTCTTGGGCGGTCAGTCACACTTTCCTGCATCTTGAACGAGATAAGCCCCATTTCGAATGTAGCACTGAATTTCAAAGATGAAAAGGCAAGGCATGCAAGAGGGCGGGCCATCAAGCCACTCAACTCTTCAAGACGAGAATGCATGCTACGTCGCAGCTTGCATTTCCCCCTTTCCGTTTCGGAAACCCCCTCTCTCCCCTCTGCACATCTCAATCTACAAGTGGCTTCACACAAGCAATGGCCTTGTCCACTCTCATCCTTGTGGCTCTTCCCCATATCTAGTTTTCTTACATCCGCTAGATGATCAGCTAAGAAAAACTCGGCACATTGATTGCAATTTTCTCACGTCGCTCAAGCCTGCTGAGGCCTCTCTACGATGGCGAAATCACACTCTGATTGCTTCGATCTTGAACTGTATGGCTCTACGATTCTGTTCCAATATCTTACAGACTGGAGGATGCTGAAGGACCTTATTCGATTGATGATAGATGGGCAACCTGGCTGGGTAAAATTGAGCCCAGGACAAGAGCCGCACGAAGCTCAAGCATCATGCCGGCTTACAAGAAAGCAAGGGGAGGCTGTATACTGTACGTGAAGCTTTCCCTCATAGATTCAGAAATTACTAATAGTTGGATTAGCACATTTCTCTTCGGTAGCAGAACTTTCCGTTCACCTTTTCCAACTAGCCTCCCGAGGGCAACATGACGTGTATATGCTCAAATGCAACTGCAGTGGAGCATGTAGCAAATCACCTCGTACCAACGACTTCTCCGAAGGAAGTCTGCGAAGATATTTCAGCATACAACACAACCAGCACCAAGACAATGAAGGGTTTGGTCCGTCACGTAGCAGGAACATGCAACTACAATATACCTATTGGCACGTTATGCCATTTGCACAGTATTACAAAGCTACGCCTTTACAGTACAAACAAGCAGGCATGCTACTGGAGACACCGTACCCCATTCTGGGAAAGGTTCCGGATACATCAAACGTCGAAATAAACG